AGGCGTTGCTTTGGGAACACAAGCTTTTTCTCACAAGAAGAGACAATTTTGTGTGAAATCAGCACAGTCGTTCTTCGCTCGCTCGCTCATCGTCTGTTCCAAGGCACTGGCCTAGGATTCGGGTTCAGTTCCTGGCTCTCCCTCAGTCTGCCTGGGGCAAAGTTGTTTTCTCTCTTCGGTGCTCAGCTCTCCACCTGTGTAAAATGGGGAGAACGGTACTTCCGTTCTCCCAGCCTTTCTCCGTCTTGCCTGTTGAGCTGGTTGGCTCCTGGGGGTAGGGACGGTCTCTCGCTCTGTCTCGGCATTGTCCTCAGCACAACAGGGCCTCCATCATGGTTGTGTTGGGGGGCGGGGAGAGAGTCTATCACAATACACATAATACACCGGGGTGGCCACACAGGCGCCAACTTTCCTTGGCGCCGGTGGGTGCTCGCGCCCCTGCCCCAACTCCGCCCCCTCCCTGCCCCTATTGGACCCCTCCCCAAATCCCGGCCCCGCCTCTTCCCCAAGCGCGCCGCGTTCCTTTTCCGCCCCCTTCCCTCCCAGCGCTTGCCATGTGAAACAGCTGTTTCGCGGCGCAAGCGCTGGGAGGGAGGGAGGGGGGAGAAGCAGGATGAGGTGGCATGCTCAGGGGAGAAGGCAGAGTGAAGGCGGAGGTGAGCTGGGGCAGAGGGGTGGGTCGGGGAGCTGCCGGTGGGTGCAGACCACCCACCAATTTTTCCCCATGGGTGCTCCAGGGCTGGAGCCATGGAGTCAGCACCTATGGGTGGCCAACCTGTGGACTCCGGAGCCGCATGCGGCTCTTCAGAAGTTAATACGCGGTTCCTTGTATAGACGCTGACTCTGGGGCTGGAGTTACAGGCGCCAACTTTCCAATGTGCCGGGCGGCGGGGGTGTGTGTGTGCTCACTGCTCAACCCCTGGCTCTGCCACAGGCCCTGCCCCTACTCCACCCCTTCCCGCCCCCTCCCCTGAGCCTGCCGTGCCCTCGCTCCTCCCCCTCCCCCCAGAGCCTCCTGCATGCCACAAAACAGCTGATCGGGAGGTGTGGGGAGGGAGGGGGAGGTGCTGGTCGGTGGGGCTGCCGGTGGGCGGGAGGCGCTGGGAGTGGGTGGGGGAGTTGGGGGGGGGGGCTGCTGACGTATTACAGTATTGTGGCTCTTTGGCAATGTACATTGGTAAATTCTGGCTCCTTCTCAGGCTCGGGTGGGCCACCCCTGTAATACACTATTACCAGCATATTCCCGATTACCTGCAGAGCATGTGGGACACAGATTTTATTCTGAGCCATTCAGCAGCAGGGGGGCCTCCCCCACAACCGGGGAGCTAGTCTTCCTCTCCCTCCTCCTGGCAGTCTTGCCCAGGGTGGGTCTGCTCTGTCCACCAGGAGTACAGTCTCCCTAGACCTCCCACCTCCAGCACCCCGCACCTGCCGGGATCAGCTATCGCCGGCCCTCCGCTACTACTCCCCTCTGCAGCTCCGTTGTCACAGCCCCACTCATTCACTTCAGTGACGGGAGTAGGGGGTTGCTGTGACCTCCCCCGCAGCCTTGGGCTCTTTGTGGTCCCCCTTCTCCGCGCAGTCCTGGCCAGTGGTCTCTGCTCTATTATCCAAACCGCCGCATTATCCCTTCCATGTCCCCTAGCATGAGATACGTGCTGCAGCGGGCATCTATCGCCCTATAGCTCAGGCTGGGGGACGAGGAAGGGATTCGGATAAGGTGGAGGTTTGCACAG